ATTGCGTTGTTTTTCTTTTCTTAATGCCTTTACAAAACTGAAAATTTCATCTGAGAGGCACAAAAGTAATGCCAGACCCAGCCTACACCCTGGGTAGAGGAAAGGGGTGACAAGAGTTGTTCAAATAAAAAAACAAAAACAAAAAAAAAAACAAGTAAACTGTGCTAGGAAAGTCCCCTACACTTGAATGAACCGTCAGAGACTCTGACAGGATTCTCAACTTGACCATAAAGCGAAAACAAAGTTTCTGCCTAAGGGCTCAAAGCAGTCAAGCCAGTCATAGAGACTTCAGTGTTTGGGCATCCAACTGTAAACCATTCTCACCAAATAAAATTTGAGAGAGCCAAAGTGCTGCATAACCTGGTAAAGTGGATGTTGTCATGTAATTTTCAATATTGGATCAAAGAGATACAGTTTTTTTAATCATTTGACCTTTATTTTCCAAAGCTATCGATCAGTATACAGTATAAATTACATACACTCTCAAAGCTCTTTATTTAGGGCTTTTTATCCCCAGCAGCATAGAACGGTATCATTACAAATGCTCAAATTACAGTTACAGAAGTTGCAATGCTACCCTTTAACCAAAATGTAGTGGAGATGAGCAAATAAGAAGTTTTTTTTCTAAAAAAAAAAAAGGTAAATATTACAGTTATTTATCATCTATATTAGGACAGGAGGTGATATTACTGCATGTGTCTGAGAGAGACCAGTTAGTGTTCTGCAGTAAAGAAAGATTTCACTAATACCTTAAACAAGCCAAAATTATTACAGCCTTTGCATTCAAAACTTTTTGGAAATTTTATATAAAGATTTAGCAAGATGAGCATGATTTGCAAGTGTTACAATTGTATTCACACCTGTATTAGAGCACGGTTGTTCACATCAATGATCACGATGACGAAACTATTTTGTTGATGCTCCTTTTTTCATGATAATGAAAACTGACAAGCTAAACATGGAACTTTGAAGACTATTACTAGTCATAGTTTTGACTTTTCATCAACGAGATGCGAAGAGACTAAATAAAAATTAGCGGGTGGTCGGTCAGACATTTAAAATGCATCATTGTGCTGTAATCGGCTAAGCAGTATCAGACATGCTGCTGGGTCCTGTTTGATGGCAGTAGCGGCAGGAAAAAAAAACCCGGAATGGTCCGGTACTGGATGCTGAACTCACAAACTATGTTCTTCCAGCTGTGCTTGTGCAGAAATGAGTCTTTGCACGTGTCTGCGCTTTACGCTCCACTGATGGTTTGTGCTCAGCAGTATGGTTCCTTCTTCTCTCGCTACTTAATAAACTATGTGGTTGATCATCCTCTGCCAAGTGTAAAAAAAATCCTTTTGTCTAACTTGTCTAACTAAGATTTTTTTTCTTCCAGCTCACAAGTGGTGATACTTATTTCTACCAAAAGGAATCCCTAAATTATATCCAAAGCAAATATTTCATTGCATACTGTTTATTTTTGAATAAAAAGCCAGGTGAAAAGGTAAATAGATCTTCGAATACTTCTCTCTCATTGTTCCCATTTCTGTTTAAATATGCCTTAAATCTTTCCATGTATTGTCATTAAAACATTTTCCGTTTCTTTTTAATATGTCAAAATTTTTATAAGCATATTCATTCAATTTAGGTCTGAATTGCCATGGAATTACAAGGCAATTATGTAGGTTCTCTGTATTTTTTTTTATATCAAAACTCTGTGAATTTAAACTACTTTGACCCCTGAGCAGCGGTAACCAAGGGGCAAACTGAAGAAATAAAGCCAAAATTGCCAAAAATAGAAAGAAGAATATTTTTGTTCTTTTGTTTTTTGGAGCAATGAAGATTTTATTGATCTGTGTGTAATGTATAATTCATAGTAGATCAGGAATTGTTGCTTTTAGATGGAAACCTTGTATGTCTAAAACCATTCCTTTATTGTACATTTTGTTAGCTTGTCTGTCTGCTATATTAATCAGTATGATCTGTTGAACTAGATCTGCTATTTTTACAACTTTTGTTAGACACTGTTTTTTTAAAGTTGGGCATTAATTCATAAAAAAAGTCAAATCTTTCTGCCCAAAACCAATGATACTGCACAGCAGCATTCTATACCCAGCAATTGTGGTATCTAGGCAAGAGCTGTCAGTTTTGGAAACAATCTGGTTGTTATTCGAATTTGTGAGGGTTAACTTTTTTTGCAACGTAAAACTAACAAAAACTAGACTCAAACCTTTTTAAGTTTTAGTCGAATAAGACCCAAGTAAAACTATCACATATCGTAATGACTAAAATGTGACTAAGACTAATAATAGTTTTCATCCTGAAGACTAAGACTAAATCTAAGATGGCTGTCAAAAACAACACTTTATTAGAGCTTATTTTCCAGAGCTTGTTAATCTGTTTTCTTCCATTAAAGAGATTTAAAGAAAAAAAATAAACAGAGCAACTTTACTAAGTGTTCCAACTGTTCAAATGCAGCACCATGAATAAATTGTAAAAGCCCCTTTGCAGTAAATAAAATTCTTCCCAAAACACTTTTCTGGGAAATCCTCCAGTACTGAATACATCAGAGTACCACTGTTGATGCCTCTTGTTTCTTAGCCCCTTCTGATTAATACAGGAGATATATATATATATATATATATATATATATATATACACCTTGGAAGGATTAAACATTGAATGTCCCTTAAATTCCTGCTCAATACCATGCCCTTTTTTTCATGCCCCCGTGTCAGTCTAAAACATCTGCCAATGTTCAGAGATGGAGTTCAATCACAAACCACTCAGTCATGATTACAAGCTTTTATTTGGTATTTCAAACACCTTGCTGGATGGCACACCAGCCTTTTAAAAGAGCACCATTCAAATCCTTCTAGAGGGCACTGGCTTCTTAGCTAAGCTTCTGCTCTCTTTTAACATTAATCCTGACCCCCACCCCACCCAATAAAAATGTTCACTTTATGCACTGGAATGAGAATTTCCAATCCCTACCTTTACTTGGATTCTGCTATAAGTGGAAACCTACATTTGATTTTCAAAACAATTTCTTTCACAAATTTTGCTTTTTTTTTAAGTTTTATTATAATCACTATGACTAATGTTAGTTAAAAGCCTTATATCTTTTTGGCTTGGAAAAGCTGTAAAAAGTCATGATACCAGCCCTGTAAAGTGAAATAAGCATGTTTCTATTTCCCTGCAGGGTTTTATCTAGTAGATACTTAATGGTAAAAACATACATTTACTATGTCCTGATGTGAAATATCTTTGCACTGAACAAGAGGGTTCTAATATTTTAACATGAATAAAATTCTCCACAGAATATCAGAATAGTTCCATGAATAGTCCCTTTTTTACATCACTGAAGCAAATGTAACATGCAAATGCAAACCCCACAGGCAGTAGGAATGCAATTAAAGTCAGCTGGTTTGCTAGACAGGTTAGTGCTGCATGTAGTGAAGGGACAGAATGTGCCCCCAGCACGCGTTCTCTTGGGGTTTTTACTTTTACCGTCTGTGCAATGAACCATCGACCCTTACCACACACCTCCCTTCCCAATCCACGCAGCCTCTTGTGATGAATTACCTTAACCCCCTTTCCCAGTCATTTATGCTTTACGTCCAAAGCTTGCAGGAAGCTGCTAGAAGAGAATGGGGGTTGAGGACAGATTGGAAGAAGTGGGTGTGAAGTGGAATGAAACAAAAGATATATTGACTTGGACACAAGAAGATATACAGGACCCAGAGGTCAAACAAAGACATGAACCAGCAAAAATTTACTTTTGCGCTAGAAATGTGAATATCTAGGAATATTCTCACAGATGTGTGTAGTATCGCTGCATAATCTCCTCATCTCAGGCATCATTTCAGTAAAGCCAGCAAGCAGAAACAATGGATGGTGACATCAGTGATCAAAACCCTCCCAGAGGAATGCTCAGCGTCCCTTTCACTAACACACACATACACGCACACAAACACTGCTATGGAAACAGCAGGAATGCGAATGTGCATCACTGTTAAAGGGATAATACGCAGCACACAGCACACTCAGGAAGAGACAAAGCCGCTGAAAACAGAGCTGACACCACTCCAAACTGCCTCCCGATCAGCTGTGTAAGACGACCAGTGTTCACTTTCTTCCTGATTTAAAAAAAGTAAAGCAAGGGGTCATTAGAGTACTCCCTGTCAGTATAAAAGGAAACCTACCCAACAGTTTCAGCATGTAGGGAAGGAAATACCACAGGTCTGTCAGGGAGCTTGATCTCGGAAGTGTGAGAGGGAAATGTTTCGGAACAGCAAGCTGCCAAAGTGGACGGGCCATATCCGATCCTTCAGTCCACTGTACCAGCTGACTGCTATGGAAACAGCAGGACTTTCTGCATTAGTGTGCATGGTAGAAGTTTAAAGAAGCTATTAAACCCATTCACCTACACACTGATGAGGCAGAAACAGTCATGCATCAATAAAAAAAATTTCAATACCATCTGTTATACAAAAAGTTTGAAGAGTAAGAGTGTCAAGTAACAATGGAGAAAGCGGGTGCAGTGTGTATATATTAAGAGGACACACTGGGCAGACATTCAAAGGGCTTGGAAACAGTAACCCACAGCAACCCGAAATCCAGCCCTCTCGTTTGCCTCTCAAAAGACACCGGTCCTCTGTCAAGCTAAGGGAAAAGTAGAGCACAGAGTGAAAAGACGCTGTAACTTTACCCACTCTGCCTCTACACAAGTGCACCACCCACCCCCTTAACTCCCCCTCCCTTCCACCTCGAAAGTTCAAGGGGTTAATTATTCAACATGAGAGTGCATTTTGGGACAGCTGAAAGTGGACACAAGTCAACAGAGAACGGACACATTTTCACTCAATCCATCCACTCTCTCACACTGAAATAGCCACTTTTGCTTATGAGTGGGGGCACTTTGCAAGCTCTATCTGGAGGGCACTTATTGGCTCCACATTCTTGCCACCTCTCAACACACAACTCGGGCAGGCTGCACTCACAGGCTCGCTTACCGTTGTGGTTGTGCTGCACTGTCTCCAGCATGCTGGCGGAAGAGTCCGTTGCTCCCAACTCAGCCAATCTGCGGCTGGTGGCGCTCAGCTCTGACCGCAGGTTGGTCACCTCCTGGCTGGCCGACTGAATGGCCCCATCGATGCGCTGGGCCAGCTGCTTGTTGTCATCCATCATTTTCAGGATTTTTGCCTGGGGGACAGAGGGGAATCCAAACACGATGTCATGCTGACAAGTTGACCATTTCCTGTCTAGGAATAAAATCCTTCTCTTTCAGTTCTCTCACTCTTTTGTTTATGAAAATGTAAACTTAAATCCTCAGAGCTGTTTGTCCTTTCCAGTTAAAGAGACGCATCTGGCTCAGGGGAAATATGTGTTTGCAAGAGGGAGTATACGTTTCAGCAGAAACGGTGTGTGTGTCAGTGTGAAAGCATGCCTGTGTGTGTGTTTCGGAGATCTCCGTAGCAGCATGTGTGCATGTGTGTGTCTGAGAGCCAGCACTACCCCAGTGAAATGTGCACCCCGCAGCTGACTGTTGAAAGGACACAGAGCACTGAGAGATGACAGGAACGTTTTTAAATGGACTGTACCATTTCCAGAGAGTGTTGAGGGGGTAAAGGCTCTTCCGTACATATACCATGATGTCCGGGTTCCAGAGCACAACTGGTCTTAGGAGATAGTTTTCAAGGTTGTTATCTTCCACTATAATTATTCACAGTATGTCCTATAATGCAATCAGTAATACCATACAACTGCTTCTCTGTCTAATAAACA